TCCAGGAAGGATCTGAGTAACGACCTGAGGGGTTCCCAGCTCTGCTCCCAGCTCCTCCAATCAGAGGCCAGGCAGCTCAACGTGAGGCCAGGGCTCTGGGAAGGTCAAGAACCCTAACAAGCAGGACCAGTGCCATCAGTGGTGGCTGTGTGGCAGTGTTCCTGCCTACCATGTAGGAGACCTACGTTCAAGTCCCAGCTGAGGTGACTTGGGGTGAGTGAGATAACAAGAAGCAAATCTTCTTGCAGTGGAAAGGGGCCACTGTGTTTTCTCCCCCTCCAGGTACCAAAGCCCTATATTTCCTTGGCATTTGGCATTTTGTGCCTTTTTATATTTCACCAACCTGTATTGTTTCTTCTGCTGTTTGTGTTTTATATTTTGTTAACCTTGTTTTTTGTCAATGATTGTAAGTGTCTAACCTTTGTTGAATCCTGCCCCCTTGGGCCACTGTAGTGTCCACTATACCCTCTGATTTATGCCTGTTATGTTCCCAGTATTAAAAGGTATATGGTTAAGTCCCCATTGGTGGTCTGGCTCTGCTCTATAGGGGGAGAAGAGTCCCTACACCTCCCACAGCATTTGTGCACCTGCTTTGATCCCTTCAACTGGAGAGGGGGTACCTCTTGGAGTACTGTCCAGGTTACACAAATGTTGATCCTCCCTGTGAAGAAAGGTCTGTTATCTGACAAACAGGAATATGAGTGTTCAGGGAGCTTTCATGAAAATCAGAACATCACTCAGTAGGGACTAAGGTACGTGTTGGACATATGCAATGGGAGCTGTCTACAAACTAGTCAGCATTTCTCACAAAGTCCAAGATTCTGTAGACTTCATTTTAGATGCATTTTTAACAACATATGTATTTTGTGTGAATTCTGCATGATATTAAGTCACAATTTGGAAGTACAGAAAAGCTGAAGTGATGTTTCCCATCAATAAATAAATAACTATATGCATAACCCACCTTTTTAAGGAAAGGCCTGAGGGACAGGACATGACATTTTATTGTAGAGAAAAGACTCGTTTTACATTTATTATTATTAGCTTGTTTCATTGTTTCACTCCCTTTAAGGCCTGTTCAGTAAGGTCAGCTGTAGCTAAAGCTTGTTAAGTCTGAGAATACAAAAAATAATTTAATATTAAAAAAAAGTCCTACAATACTTCCAAAGATTATACATGGCATACGAAAAATATACTGTAGTCAGAAGAGCTGGGAAGGTTTTATCGGTACTCATTTTGAGATGACCTACATAACTCACTTGGGGATTCACACCAACTCAAACTCAGGCTGGTAAATTTGTGACAGCATATAATCGTATCATGGAAGGACTGCCTTGAAAAACTCTGCTCTCCATAGACTCTGGTAAATTGCACTTAGAATTTCTCATATTAAGTGCAGGGAAATACTGTGCTACCCATTTAAAAGGTTATGGTAAAAGGTGATACCTTACTAGGAACTTCTATGTCAGCATACTCAAGATATAGAATAGTGTCACTTTAAAAATGTGGGAACTTACATATTCATACACATATACCATGAAGCTAACATTTCAGACCAAATGATTTAACCTACACGCTTGGTTTTAATTGTAAAATCTTTAAATAAAATGAGCTTTAAAGAAACAATTTAAACACAAGGGGAAATTTCAGGTGCACCTAGTAGGATGTCTTCTCAAAAGGAAAGAATTCAGTAAATCCTTACAGTATATCCAAGAGGTTTGTCATACAGTTCAAACAGCAGAACTTACATATATTGGGTACAAACTGTTCATGAAGGACAGGCAGGGGAAAAGAGGAGAAGGAGTTGCACTTTATGTAAAAGAGCCATATGATTGCTCAGAGCTCCAGTATGAAATGGGAGATAGGCCTGTTGAGGGTCTCTGGGTTAGGGTCAGAGGGAAAAGCAACAAGGGTGATGTCATGGTGGGGGGTCTGCCATGAATGACGTATGCCCCTGGCGGCTCTGCAGGCGGCGGTAAGAGTGCAGCTGCAGTAAGCTTGGAGCTCCTGCAGATGCTGCTGGCAGCTGGGGTGTGGGGTGGCGAGCACTGACAAGGGGTAGGTGACCACCCGCTGGCACTGCCAGCAGCGATCGCGGACTGCCCGCAAATGGTGCTGGCAGCAGGGTGGCAAGCGGTGAGCGGCGACTGCCCTCAGGCACCACCCAGCAATGATGTCAGTGGTGCCTTTTTGTAGGGGGTACACCGCCACACTCAGGGTGCACGTGCACCTGGGTGCATCCCCTACATGTCACCTTTCCAGTCCGCCACAGACCACCAGACCAGATGGAAGTGGTGGATGAGGCTTTCTTCAAACAGCTAGTGGAAGTTTCCTGATCAGAGGTCATGGTTCTCATGGGGGACTTCAATCACTCTGACATTTGCTGGGAGGACAATACACTAGTGCCCAGCCAATTCAGGATGTTTTTGGAGAATGTTGGGGACAACTTCCGGGTGCAAGTGTTGGAGCAGCCAACTAGGGGCCATGCTCTTCTTGACCTGCTGCTCACAAAGAGGGATGAATTGGTGGGGAATGTAGTAGTGGATGGCAACTTGGGCAGCAGTGACCATGAGATGATTGAGTTCAGGATCCTGAGGAAAGGAAGGATGGAGAGCAGCAAAGTAAGGACCTGGACTTCAGAAAAGCAGACTTTGACTCACTCAGGGAACTCATGGGCAAGATCTCCTGGGAAGCCAGTATGAGGGGGAGAGGAGTCCCGGAGAGCTGGCTGTACTTGAAAGAAGCCTTACTGAGAGTGCAGAAGAACAAACCATCCCGATACACAGGAAGACTAGAAAGTATGGCAGAAGACCAGCTTAACAGGGAACTCTTCAGTAAAACTAAATCACAAAAAGGAAGCTTATAAGAAGTGGAAACTTGGGCAGAACTAGGGAAGAATATAAGAACATTGCTTGGGCATGCAGGGATGAAGTCAGGAAGGCCAAAGCACAATTGGAGTTGCAGCTAGTAAGGAATGTGAAGGGTAACAAGAAGGGTTTCTACAAGTATGTCGGTAGCAAGAGGGGGATCAGTGAAAGTGTGGGTCCCTTACCGAATGGGGGAGGCAACCTTGTGACAGAGGATGCAGAAAAGGCTGAAGTGCTCAATGCCTATTTCACCTCAGTCTTCATAGGCAAGGTCAGCTCCCAGACTACTGCAGTAGGCAGCACACTTTGGGGAGGAGGTGAGAAGCCCTCAGTACTGGAAGAATAGGTTAGGGACTTTTTAGAAAAGCTGGACATGTACAAGTCCATGAGGCCGGATGGGATGCAGCCGAGGGTGCTGAAGGAGTTGGCTGATGTGATTGCAGAGCTACTGGCCTTCATTTTTGAAAACTTAAGGTGATCACGAGAGGTCCCATATGATTGGAAAAAGGCAAACATAGTGCCCATATTTATGAAAGGGAAAAAGGAGGATCCAGGGAACTACAGACCAGTCACCTCAATCCCTGGAAAAATCATAAAGCACATCCTCAAGGAAACTATTTCTAAGCACTTGGAGGAGACAAAGGTGATTAGGAACAGTCAGCATGGATTTACCAGGGGCAAGTCATGCTCTGACCAACCCAATTGCCTTCTATGATGCGGTGACTGGTTGTGGATATGGGGAGATTGGTGGTGTGGTGTACCTTGATTTTAGCAAGACTTTTGATATGGTATCTCACAACATTCTTGCAGGCAAGCTAAGGAAGTATGGGCTGGCTGGATGGACTGTAAGGTGGATGGAAAACTGGTTGGAGCATCGGGCTCAGAGAGTTGTAAACAATGGGTCAATGTTGGTTGGGAGCCAGTATCAAGTGGAGTGCCCCAGGGGTCGGTCTTGGGCCTGGTTTTGTTCAATATCTTCATCAACAACCTGGAAGATGGCATAGAGTACACCCTCAACAAGTCTGCAGATGCCATCAAGCTGGGGGGAGTAGTAGATATGCTGGAGGGCAGGGCTACGACTCAGAGACACCTAGACAAATTGGAGGTTTGGGCCAACAGAAATCTCATGAGGTTCAACACGGACAAGTGCAAAGTCCTGCACTTAGGACAGAACAATCCCATGCACCGGTACAGGCTGGAGGCTGACTGGCTGGGCAGCAGCTCTGCAGAAATGGATCTGGGGGTTACAGTAGACAATAAGCCTCTCCTCCTATGTCATGTGCCCCAGGCTCCCTCACCATTTTTGTTGTCCTCCGCTGGAGAAGAGGAGACTGAGAGGGGACTTAATATCAGGCTTCAACTACCTGAAGTGGGGTTCAAAATACAATGGAGCTAGACTGTTTTTAGTAGTGCCAGATGACAGAACAAGGAGCAACAGTCTCAAGTTGCAGCAAGGGAAGTAAAGGTTAGATATTAGGAAGAACTGTTTTGCTAGTAAAGCACTGGAACAGGTTACCCAGAGAGGTGGTGGAAGATCCATCCTTGGAAGTTTTTAAAACCTGGCTAGACAAATCTTTGGTTGGGATGATCTATTTGGGGCTTCTCCTGCTTTGACCAGGGGGTTGGACTACATGACCTCCTGAGGTCTCCTCCATCCCTGGTTTTTCTATGATTCTGTGATTCTCTGAGGGTATAGCTGGGCTGGGTATACATACATAAATACACGTGTCTGCTGTTTTTCAGCCACTTAATCTGCATGGTGCCCACATTAAATGATTTCTGTATTTTAAGGTTATCAATTCAAACAAAGTGAGGACCTGTTTTTCACATTTTTTATAATTAGTATAATTATTGAAATAGAAAAATGTGATGGTTGATTTAATTGTTACATCATGACTTCACCACTGGACAGCACTTATTTTCCAGAAAAATTAAGCTTATATGCAAAGTTTTTTTGAAATGGAAACACATATCATATGCTAATTAAATAATAATAAAATACCAATCCTAAGAATTTACTTTTCTGGAAAGAGATTAAAGAACAGTGTTTTTATTAAAGCACAAATGCTCCCGATGGCCAAAATCAAAACTTTTATCAAAACCTACTATGAATACATGCTCTAAGTGACATACCTGCCCCAAGCTGCTTTCATTGTAGTTTCTTGACTAACAGGAATACAGGAGGAATCAACAACACTTGACTTATTCAGTTTGTAGCAGAGACCACAGTTGGGATCTAACATGCATCCATTGCAATAACTGAAAGAAAGAGACAAAGAGACATACTAAACTAAATGTCCTTTATCTGTACATGTGAAATAAAACATTATCTATTGAACATGTCAGTTCAAGTCATTCATTCTTTTCTTCTCCTATGCCATGTTCTGGTGAAAGGCTGGTTGTGCTTGCCCATCTACTTATTAGTGTTACTAAATAACACTTGATCAACATGGAGCTTTGGGGGAAAAATAAGTACAGCAGCTTTGGTTGAGAAATAGGGAAAGGACAATGAAACTATGAAGACGGTAGACAGCAAAAATCATGTGAGTAAATACATGCTTTTTCAGACTGTATCCAGTAGTTGTATTTGACTAAAAACTCCTTGAATTAATCATCTCTATATACTGAATCTTGCATACAAAAGGGTTGGAGCAAATGGCTAACATAAGACGTGACAGTATGTTAAAATGCTCATGTAGAAAGAATCCTTTAATACACTGAGGTATGCTAGAAAAATCTTACAAAGGGAACACAGCTGCCATACAGATCTATGTTTCATAGTTTATGATATAAAGATATGGAAGGGGAAGGAAAGTGCTTGGACTGCAATCTGGAAAGTAGGAAACATGGGTTATACACTTGCCCTGCCACAGATTTTCCAATTAGCCTTCAGCAAATTACTTATTCTCTGACTCCACTTTTCATCTCTAAAATGAGGAAAAGAACATTTATTCACTTCACAAGGAGTGGTGAAGCTATGTAAATTTTAAATTGTGAGATTCATACACAGAGTGATGATGGGGATCATACAAGAACTGAAGACAGACAGTACTAGTCTACCATTTTCTCTCTCAGTGGAAAAGAAAGAGTAATTGGAAAGCTATATAACCACAGAAGCATGCCCGGTAACATTTCAAATTTCTTGATTCCTATTATTTTGTAAATTAATATAATTATTATTCATTTTGCCTTGAAGAAATCAAATACCCAAATTGTTACTGGGAACTTAACAATAGAACTTTTGAATAAGTACAAACAGACTCCTTCAAGTAGTCTGACATCTTTTATATTCCTTTCATTTGTACAAAATTATGTAAAAATGTCAGATACAAAATTAAATGCAACAGGTATATAAAAAAGCTGAATATTAAAGAAATATGCAGAATAAATACTAGTAAAAAGTAGCATATTCAAAAAGATTGAAAGACTGCTACGGTGTCTCAATCAAAACCAGTAAAAGAAAAACACTTTTCCTGATAAGGTATGTTTTTATGCTAAATTTAGACTGGACTTGATGTAAATCACTCCACTCTGAAGTGAAGTTATTCTCTAAAATGGAGGAGTATTTAATACACTAATGTTAATGTAAATTACCCTGAGGTATCAGGGATCAACTGTTCCCTAGTTAGGTTCATCCCAGGGTCGCTATTTGCTCAGTTCAAATGGTCTACTGTCACCTAGTGGCCAGGCACTATCACAGCCAGATTTGCTGAGCTCTGTTATGCTTTTACTCTGGGATAGTTTTACTATCCAGTAAAATGTGGCTAGATGACTCAACAGTTAGAATGTCTTATGGCGGCACCTCAGATTGTCAGTATGGATTTAAAGGGACAATGTAAAAATAACTGTTACATACAGCTTTTTTGGCAGGAAGTCTTGCAGTTCTTTCTTACACAAGTGCTAACTACTGCATGACTGAGCTTTCTGATCCAAAACCCAAATCTTTTGAACTGTCTTTGTCAGGGTCATCATGTTGAGGATGGTCCATGCCCATAGTTCAGTAGAATAAATGGAGGTGCACAAAGAAGGCAGTGTTGGGGTTTAAATGTATCTAGTGCAGCTAAGCTCTTCTAGAGCAGCATTTCTCAACCTGTAGGTTACGACCCAAAAGCAGGTTGCAAGATTTCAGAGGGTTATGAGCCACGGGTTGAGAAACGTTGATCCTGGGAAAGCATCAAGACTGCAAAGGACAGAGGGGCAGCACGAAGGCACCTGCCCCTTCCAGCAAGGGAAGGGGGTGGGGGAGAGCTGCGAGGCCAGGGTGGGTGCTCAAGGGGTGGGGTGGACAGGAGATGCTGCTTGGGAGGTAGGAGGGGCTGGGATCAGGCTGCCTGGAACAGCATGGCAGGCCCAACCCCGGGAAGGGGCTGCCATAGGCTTCCTCTCCTCCTCCCTCCAGCCTGTGCCAGGGCTGGACTTGCTCTGCTGCCACCTGCATGGAGCTGGAGCCACAGCAACCACTGTGCTCTGGCCCGAGCAGGAGGGGGCAGCTGGGGGCCTCTCCAGTAGGGCTGGGGGGGGCAAGGGGCTGCAGGCTGGGAGTGCGGGACACTGGCAGGACTGTGGGGGGGGGGGGCAAGGGCGGGGGGGCATGGGG